TCACCTACTCCGAGATGGCGTTGGGGCTCCCGATCCTTCAGGGGCAAAAGGCGGACTGGACGCTGATGAGGGCGCACGAGAGCGAGATCACGCCGCCCCGCTTCACCCCCAGCGGGCTGGTCGAGAACTACGACAATGCCAAGGACCTCAAGTTCGGCGTGCAGATCGCCGCCAACGCGCCCTGGATCGCCATCAAGACGACCGAGACCCTGACGCGCTTCCTGCCCCACCTGCGCATCATCGACCTCAATTGCGGCTGCCCCATCGACATGGTGTACAAGTCCGGCGCCGGGTCCGGCCTGCTCGAGGCGCCGGCCAAGCTGGACCGCATGATCCGCGGCATGAACGCGGTCTCGGGCGAGGTGCCCATCTCGGCCAAGATCCGCATGGGCGTCAAGGACGACCGGCTCGTGGCGCAGAAGCTCGTCGAGCGCCTCGCCCTCGGCAGCCAGGACATGCGCGACACCCTGGGCGCGCCAGGCTGCGCGGCCGTCACGCTGCACGGCCGCACCCGCCAGCAGCGCTACACCCGCGAGGCCAATTGGAGCTACATCGCCGAGTGCGCCGCCCTGATCAAGGGCTACAACGGCAAGAGCGACGACCTGACCGACACGATCCGGCAGGCCGAGGAGAACACGCTGCCCAACGGCGGGCGCATGTACTTTGTCGGCAACGGCGACTGCTACTCGCACGTCGACTACTTCAACCACGTCGACAACGCAAAGGTCGATAGCGTCATGATCGCCCGCGGCGCCATCATCAAGCCCTGGATCTTTGAGGAGATCGAGAAGGGCCAGTACCTCGACAAGTCTGCCACCGAGCGCCTGGCCTACATCGAGAAGTTTGCCAGGTACGGCATGGAGGCCTGGGGCTCCGACGAGCTCGGCATCAACTACACCCGCCGCTTCATGCTCGAGTTCCTCAGCTTCTTCACCCGCTACGTCCCCATCGGCCTGCTCGAGCACCTCCCGCCCAGCATCAACGAGCGCCCGCCCGCCTTCCGTGGCCGCGACGACCTCGAGACGCTGCTTTCGAGCAACAACTTTAAGGACTGGATCAAGATCAGGTATGCATTTTCTCTCTCTCCGGCGAGTTTATTTTAGTATGGAAATACTGGATGGCTAACTGTCTATTTCTCTTTGAAAAACAGTGAAATGTTCCTTGGCCCGGCCCCAACAGAGTTCAAGTTCCAGCCGAAACACAAGTCTAATAGTTACGAGATTGAGGCCGAGGGTTAGTTAGTTAGATCGAGGGGTTGGCAAGCAATGGGTGAGTGAGCTGACGACGAGGAAATGTGAGGCGGATGAAATGCTGCCATGTTGTAAAATGTAACAAAAGTCCGCAATGACACTAAAAGACAAGTTCAACTGATATTAATTGAGAGGCCCGCCGTCTCGTTTACTCCGGCAATGTGTGGCTATCTAAGTATATCTTGTCTCGCATTCTTCTTTATACTGCTATGTGTACGGGGTACTTTGTATATCTGTATCCAAACCCAGCGCAAGTCCAACCTGACCCGGTCTACGTGGTTCTCATCCATCGCCATCCGCCGAGAAACATAATAAGAAACAGCGATGCGTTTCCCAGCCATAAATTGCATCCCATCGTCCATTAAAAATACCTGGTATCCAAGCAACCATCAGATCGGTGTTCGGGAATTTCTCCACCAGTCTTCAAGCTTGATCCCAACAAAGACCAACAACCCTCCGACCCGAAGACACCAGAAGCCGACTTTCATCAACGCCTGCACACCCAACGCAAACCCACAAATACCAATAGCAATCGCCATTTAAGTGACGGTCCAAGTAAGTATGATCAACCAGCACACCGCGACCAGTGACGTTCTCTGATAATGACTTAACTCCTGTCATCGCTGCCCTTCTTCCTACCCAGGACCCCAAATTTCCTCCTCAGCGTCTGTATAACACTCTTCCGTGTGGTACTACTACTCTGCACACCGCGATTGCTAGTAGAGTACTCGTCCGAGAAGGGGTCGTCGCCCGCGGATAGGAGCGTCGGGCCCCGGGATGATGACGATGGATCGGCCTCCGGGGCATTACCAAGACTCCGGTGCCGGACGCGCGCTCGGCTGCCCTTGGCTTGAATGTTGTTGCTCCTGTATGGCGCATGTTGTGGCTGCATTTCAAAGGCCATGCCGCTGGTGCTGCTGTGGTTCCCGTTTTCAATAGCGCTGTGACGTTTGAGACGAGCCTTTTGGTCCTTCTGTGCCTTTTCGATGGTAAAAGAGGGTTCTCCTTTGCCCTTGTAATCGTCATCGAGGTAAGGCTATGCATAGATGGTTAGCTCGGCCTCGTCTACATATGAGGGCTTATGGGCCCTGAAGATTGGGGAACTTACGATATGATCATACCGTCGGTAGGCGCCGCCTCCAGCTTCACGCTCTCGCATGATGTCTGCGCCTTCTTGATACAACATCGTACGGCCACCCATATCTTGGCAGCCTGGGGGAACGATTGCGGTTCCTTGGAGTGGTACGTGTTTTACGAGCGAGTCTTGAACATACTCCGTAGGTGTGGCCCTCAAAGCCTCCATATTTGTGTCTTTGACGGCTTCGAGTGGTGAATACTTCTTGTTCTTGTTGTAAGTCTCCATGGTTGGGTCAAATGGGCCGCCATGGTGATATGTAACGCTAGCAGGACCGCTATGATCTAGAGAGTCTATGGTGTCGCTGGGCTGTCTCCTTCGTGGGTTGTGTAAGTGGGGAGAACGATCCGCAGCTCTGTGTTCCTGCGTGAGGATTGCTAGGGGCCGATGGCTCATGTCACCCGGGAAACGCTCCTGGAGCGAGCTAGAGCGGCGACGATGCAGCGAACCGCCTTCTTTCGCGTCTGGGGCGAGCATTTCGAGAGCTCTGGGGGATCTATCACCAGAATAGCGTTCTGCGAAGGAACCGTCTGGAGAGGATGACGGTTGGTGTCTATGAATTTGACGCAACGAGACCACACTGGTCGGCCTGGAAAATATGGTCCCTTGGTTCCAATGTGCTGAGGGAGGCCTGACGGTGACGAATGACCCCTTGCGCCCCCGATTTGATATGGGCGGGTAGCTGGTGTCTGGAGGGGAAGGGGGACTAATTCCTTTGTTCAAATTGCTGCGTCTACTAACCAAGCGGCGTAACAAAGGTGGCCGCAGTGCTTCAGGTTCTTTGGCGACGGGCGTAGTTGAATCCGGGCGACGACGAAAGACGGAACTCGTGCGAGAGGGCACCGGAGAGACTGGCGGTGTTGGGAGCTTGATACGAGTTGCACAGACTTGGTTCGGCTCGGGCTCGTTCAGTGGATCGAGGATGTATTTGGTGGGCTGCAATTGTCCGTAGAAGAATTCTATGATCAGCAAAGAGCAGTTTTCAAGATAGTGGAACAGCAGCAGGATCAACAACGGTAGTGCATCATGATATAATTTTGGCATCAATCTTCCATGCCCTCCGCGAGGATCCTTGGCAGAACCGGGTCGAACGTGAGAGTGACGCAAGAGCTGCCTAATCGTCATCACCCTGGTGCCAGAGCCAACTAACCCCTAGCTGGTTCTTGTTCGTAGCGACGGCGGCACGGAAGCATTGTTTGTATCACTGCTACCTTGGAGATTGATATGAGGCGCCTCCCGAGCCTGCCGTGGAAAGTGGAACGTGGAAACTGGCTCAAGAGGTCATCCATGAAGCACTCGCCACGCGTTGGAATGCTCGAGGCTTGGGGCGGTGCATCTTGGAACTGACGTTTTCAACTGTGACCACAGACAGCAGATACATGATACCATGGTGGCCGAAGCGCTCACGAGGGAACGGGCATGTCTTGGGGCATTAAAGAAAACCAATAATAAATAAAACCAGAAACCAAATCAATCCGCAAAGCCGCAAACAATCTCGACAGGAAAACGTACCCAGTTCTTGTCGAATTCGACACTGTCGTCGTAACCGTGGTCGCCCTCATCCTTGTCCCTGTCCCTGCCCCTGTCGGCCGCCATCCTGATCCGATTTAGCAGCTGGTTTCGGTACTTTGACGGAGTCTTCAGCGGGGTTTGGTGGGGGGTGCAGACGGGAACCGTTGTCGACTGCACTGAGCGAGCTGGGCGGCCGAGGGGTTAGGTGTCGATGATGAGACCCGGCATCCTGGTCCTGCTCCTTGCAAGGCGCCTTGCCTTGGTTATGTTAGGTGAATAACCAAGTTAGGATTGATTTCCTCAATGCGATCGACGACACGATGGCGGATGGAGCAACTGCTTGAGGGCGAGAATTCGAACTCGAAAAGACCAAAAAAAAAAAAAAAAAAAACAGAGCTGATGACGGGGTCTCCAACGAAGGGTGTTGGTTGTCTCGGAATTGGGGTTGGGCGAGGGATTGTGTAACAATTCCAGGATGTTTGGGTCTTTGATTTAGCCTTTGCTGCAGGAACAATTGTCGGGAGCCCGGACAGGCAAGCAGGACATTGGACGAGATTGGGTTTGAGACCGCCGCCTCAGAAGCTTACTGTGGTAGTTTAAACTCAACTCATTCTCATCGCGACTTCCACTCTTGTCGATCGATCTATTTACGACCTTCTCGGACTCTGACGGCTACCTGGTCCCTGGCAGTGCGAGGTCCCGATCACGAACGACGTCATCGGTTGCATTTATCCACCTGAAGAGGCGCTGTCGCGGACTTGCTGGCTTTGACCTCCACAAGCAGTCCGTGGCTGATCGTACTACCGCAGGGCATGGCCGGCTGGCCGCAATAGAGGGCAGACTTGTAAGATGACACCGACAGTGCATCGCTTGAAAATGGCTATGTTGTTGTCGGAACAAGGAACCGGGGCGTGGCTGTCTGGATCCACAAGCAACAGCAAAATTGTTAAACGGAGAGAGGCCAATCTGACGACGCCGACTACAAACAAGATGTTTAACCAACGGGAAAAAGAAATGAGAAAAAATAAAAGGTAAGTGATCAATCACATATGCAAAAGAAATGCAAAAAGAAAGTGTTCAAGAGAAAGCGAAGCTCTTTAAACTGATCAGAGTGGGATTCGAACCCACGCCCTTTCGGACCACGGAATCAATGATTGAATTAAGGGTTAACCTTAACGTGGCGCCTTAGACCGCTCGGCCATCTGACCTTATTCGTTACAGATTCGAGTCACAGATTGTATCTAAGGCCGGATCCCACACAACCAGCCCCCGGCTACGCGTCTGCCATGTTTCCCTTCACTCTGGATCAGACAGGTCTGCTCGACCAACGATCGTTCAAACGCAACGGAATTTACAAGAAGGGATACACGCTATAAAATCTAGATAGTAGTTTCGACTTTGCCTTTATGTTTATCTCAAGTCTTAAGTTTTACCAGGTCGGTAGGTACCGTACATAGGTTGTTTCATAACCATGGAATCCCAGACTCCTCTTAAGTATCCCTTTCCATTGTCACTGCTTCACGCCGTATTGTAATTATTTGGTTCGCTATATTTTTCGCACGGGATACAATTCCCAGTGAGACGGCTAGGTAAGGGACAGCAAACCCCACCGTGACTGCTCCCATCGTGAACAAACCTGGAAGGAGCTGCCCCAAAAATTAGGTAGTCAATCCCTCTTCATTGTAGCTTTTACCACTTTCGGTTCGACTTCAATTCAACTCCGTCCGACATCAAATTCAACAAACAATCTAGAACATATCCCAATCACCCAACTCACCAAGCTGCAACGTAATTTTACCCATCCACCTATCCTCCCTGGCATCTCATGGAAAGTAAAAACATCCCGCCCCCCGCCCCCGAGTAGATCTCCGCACAACCCCCAGCAATGCCGCTGGTAGACTACGGCTCCGATTCGGACTCGGACCCGCCACCGTCCAAAAAAGCCAAGCCCAACTCCCCTCCTCCGGCCGCAACCCCGGCCCCGGCCTCGGCACCACTCCCGCCGCTCCCCTCCGCCTTCCACGACCTCTACGCCTCGACAGTGCGCACCACGACAGCCGACACCCCCTCCCTCCACCAAGGCCGCACGCGACAGACCCCGCACATAGCCGGCCACTGGCCCAGCCACGTCTACATCGAGTGGCACCCACCGCCTCCAACACACGCACTACTCACCTCCCTCCTCACCAGTCTCCAGTCCCGCATCGCCAGCTCCCCAAACCCCCACCACAAACCCAACATCACCACCTTCCTCACAAGCGACCTGGGTACGCCCCTCCCGCTGCACATCAGCCTCTCCCGCCCGCTCTCCCTCCCAACACCCACCAAGGCCGCGTTCCTGTCCGCGCTGACCGAGGGGATATCCACCTGCGGCTTGGCGGGGCCGTTTGCGCTGACGTGCCGCGGGGCGGAGTGGCACCGGACAGAGGAGTCAGGACGGTCGTTCCTCGTGTTGCGCGTGCGGAGCGCCACGGGGACCCACGCGAGCGCGAACCCGGAGCTCACGACGCTGCTGCGGCAGTGTAACCGCGTCGCCAGGCAGCACGGCCAGCCGGAGCTGTACCAGTGGGCTGCCGATGCCGATGCCGATGCCGATGCCGATGCGGAGAGCAGCAGCGGTAGTGGGCTGAAGGGTGATGGCGAGAGGCCCAGCAGGACCGGGAGCGCGGGTGATGCATTCCATCTGTCTATTGCGTGGACGTTTGCCAAGCCGACTGAGGAGCTGGAGCGGTTGACCCGGGAGGTCTTTGCTGGTGACGAGCGGGCGGCCGAGGACGGGATCCAGACGACCGTGATCCCCGTCGACGGCATCAAGGCCAAGATCGGGAACGTTGTCACGCACATACCGCTGCGGCAGCCAGGGCGGAAGACAGCGAATAATCTGCTCGGTATCTCCTAAAGGCAAGCGAGACAGCATTTCAGAGACCATGTATGTATGGATGTATGTATATACAATGTTTTCCTCATGATTATGCTGCATAATCCTAGGAACACGCACTCCCTCTCCATAACTGATGAGCACCCCGCCCGCGAATTGATGCAATGATACAAGCAATCACCCGATGCAACTCCTCCTCCCCTCCCGAAACGCCAATAGCGCAGACCAGGTCAAACCACGAAATCGCAAACTCCAAACCGCAGGCAGCTTGTAACGAGTTTCCTGCAGGGAAGGCCATGATGCAAAAATATATACATACTCGTGTACTCTTGAGTACCTTATCCAATGTCTATGAAACAGAGGATGCAAGTCGCTCATAGTTCATCCAAGTTCGGCCGCTGGAACGTCCACGTCCGCGGCGAGACCGGCAGACCGACATAGAACTGCCACAGCCGCCTCGTCTCCAACGTGAGGATGGACCACCTAAGCACCAACTTGTTAGCAAACCTCCTAACCGCCCGAAATGACAGGTTCAGTCGTTTCACCAAGGAATTTAAAACTCACAGAAACCCAGGAAGCTCCACCCAGCTCTTGATGACCAGCCTAAAAGCCTTCATGACCCTGACCCACTCCTCCTGAAAGTCCTCCCCTATCGTGGTCTCCGGGTACTCGTCCTCGTCATCGTCTGAATCCTCCTCGACAGCAGCAGGCCTTGTCTCGGCTGCTTTTTCCGCCGTGACCGATGCCTTTGACGACGGAAAAATCACATGATGCGGCTTCTTCGCCCTATCGGGGATGAGATGGATCTCCTCGGCCTTCTTCACGCCTTCACTGAACTCCTTTTCCTTCGCAGCCGCTGCTTCAGCGTCCTCCACCATGTTCCTGAACTTCTGGATGGCGCTCAGGCTGCTGCTCAGGCGGGCATAAGTGTTGAACAGCGCAACAAGCTCAGTGCGCTTCAGCACGGGCGGTTCGGGGTGTTCACTGTTATCGAATTCAAACAGCACCTTCAGCGCTGCGCCGTACCCGGCCGTCTGCAGCTTCCCCCACAGGCGGCACTTGTCGCAGCCGACACAGTCCATCAGGCGGCTGACGTTGCGGAACCGGTTGCGGAAGTCTTCCTTCAGCGACGGGCCCTCGCCGTTCTTGAACATGAGGCTCTCGTCGAAGATCTGCGGGACGCTGCCGGCCTTCTCGGTGACGGCCAGGACCTTGGCGCGCGTAGCGGCATCCTGGTCCAGCTCGCCCGAGCAGAAGGTGTAGTCTTCTGAGTGGGCGAGATAGGGACCGAGCTTGGCGACAGCGCGCGTCAATAAGGCGTAGTTGAAGTACAGATTGCTGATGCGGTCCGGGAACGTGTGCAGACGGGCTTTGTAGCAGCCGACGTTGGGCTGCCATTGGCCCGTCGTTTGGTTCAGAAAGTCCCAGCACAAATGGGTGGAGATGCTCGCGTGCATGCCCGACATGACGCGATAGAAGACACGTTTCTCGAGGCACTCGTCCTCGACTTCCAAGCCGGTCTTGGCCACGAACGGGGTGAGCGGGTTGGACTGTCGTTGTTGCTCAAGCACCTGTTGCCGTCCGGCGGCCTCGATAACGGCCTTGAAGTCGAGGGCTGCCGGTCCTCGCGGCGTCGGGGCCTTACCCAGCGACGCTGATGAGGGGAACGAGCTCTTCTGGAAGCAGTTCTCGCGGTAGATAGCATCCCAGACTCCCTTGGCGCCGTCGCCCGCGTAGCCGGTAAATCGTTCGGGATTGCGGAGGAGGCTGACGTAGTCTCCCTTAGAGGCTGCACTCTCATCTTCGGCCACGCAGTAGTCGCGCTCGTCGCATTCGTCGTCGTACTCCACCACGCAGCTCTCACCAACGCCCTCTCCGAGCTTGCCCTGGAGGGGCCGTTCCGGGCGTTCTTTCTGCACCCGTTTGCCGGGGTGTTTTGCGTGGGGGCCTTCCAGCTTGCCCAGCTCGCTGGCTCGCCATACTTCGGGGATGTCCTCCTCGTTGTCGAGCGTCTCCACGGCGCAGGCAATGTTGCCGCACATGCCATTCTCGTCGTTCCAGAAGGGACACCTCTTGTTGAAGAGGTTGAGTCGGTAGTGCGAGAAGAAATCGGTCGTCTGGGTCAGCTCGTCAAGCGCCGGCTTGACGTTGCGGTTGAGCCGATCGAGGGTCGAGTACGAGGCGCAGGCATCGCTCACGATCGCCTTTGGCGAAATCTGGTACGGGTAACGGTTAGAAGAGAGGTCTGCACGTGGTGACTCTTCGTTGGCCAGGCAGTCGGCGGGCTGTGGCAGAAGGAGAGCCGCCGGGGCCAGAGTCAAGGAGAGAAACAATGTAAGTCGCGGGAGCATACCGCGCAAGCATCCTGGGAGGCGCCGGTGTTCTGGCATTGGACTTGCGGGCCCCAGAGCGCGAAGAAGGACAAGTAGAACAGTCGAGATGCCGACTTCATGGCTCGGCCGTGTGTGGGTATATACCTGCACCTAGTGTATATAGAGTGCACTCGATAGGGAAGGTCAGGAACGGTATGTCAGGCAGGCTCGGCAAGTCAAGCGAGAATCGACCGGAAGGTCAGGTCTTTGTTGTTTAGGCTGATTCCGGGAGGGGCGGTACGGCTGTTTGCCCAGAAAGAAGCGTTAATAATGGGGATGGGGGTCGTGGTGAATAAGGTAGGACGGTAGTAGATGTGTCAATGTGCGAGGTGTCCTCGAGTGTTGGAGGTGGGTTTGACGTCAATGCATGCAGGGCTCCTGCGACTGGGGCGGCTTGCGGTCTGTGACGGAGACAAGAGAGGCAGGTGCGGCAGGTACTGGTATCCGGCCCGCTAAGGACAAGGCGCAAGGCGACCGATAAGGGATCTAACGGAAAACGGGACGAACAAGGTTTTACGTGCGGTGCCTACCGGTAGGCTCTAACAAAGAAAAGGCGCCTTTTCGGCGTTCTGGAAGTGCATTGACAACCAAGAGGACAAGTTTCAAGTGAATATAAAGAAAGATGTCAGACGGGGCCAGATCTCCAGTCTCTGGCTCCCAGATGCACTGTTTTATTATTATTTTTATCTGTGCTCCTTCCTTCCCCGGGTGGATTAGTGATTCTGGCCAGATGCTGTGGTCTGAGGGTGGTAAATGAGGCAAAGTCCTCGTTTTACCATGTTGAAAGGTGTCCAGATGGAAAATGAAAATCAGCAGATGTTGCGTCGGCCGACGGATGACATTCAAGGATGCCGCATCCCGACTGCCTGCTTTCAAATCATGGAACCAGCTGATTGCCGTCCTCCTGGCTGCCTTGCTTCCCATTTGCTCCGGGGAAAACCCCACGTTGTCATGCAGA